GGTTAAGAACCACTGAGCTAAATGGTCAATTAGCAAAACAGTAGCTAAAAGCTAAATGTAATAAGCAAACTAAAAGCTAAAAAAATGTAGCTAAAAGTTAAAGTTAGCAAAACTTTAGCTAATTGGTAAATTAGCAAAACAGTAGCTAAAAGCTAAATGTAATAAACAAACTAAAAGCTAAAAAAACTGTAGCTAAAAGTTAAAGTGAGCAAAACTTTAGTTAAATGGTAAATTAGCAAAACAGTAGCTTAAAGCTAAATGTAATAAGCAAACTAAAAGCTAAAAAAATGTAGCTAAAAGTTAAAGTGAGCAAAACTTTAGCTAAATGGTAAATTAGCAAAACAGTAGCTAAAAGCTAAATGTAATAAACAAACTAAAAGCTAAAAAAACTGTAGCTAAAAGTTAAAGTGAGGAAAACAGTAACCGTGTTTCCATCACGGCTTTTTGATGCACATTTAGAAGTGTCGCATTAAAAATGCGAAAAAAAGTCGGATGGAAACAGCAAAATTTGAAGAAAAAAATCCTCAGTTCGCTAAAAAGTTTTTACGCTCGCTTGAGGTGGTTTTTGGATGATTCGCAAAGTAGTTAATGCGCAAAACTGGAGATGGAAACATGTTTGCCGAATAAATTCTGACGTAGAGCATATTTACCTCACGTAACGTTCAGCTGTTTCTGCTTTCCTGCCTCGTCCCGGATGTTATCATAAACGCGCGAAAACATTGCGTTAATTTCCCTACGTCTCCTGGCAGCGTTAAACATAGCCTAGCTGAATAGATAGAATAATTACAACTTGCCCAATAGCAAGGCATTCACGAAAAAATCGCTCCATTGTCCCGAGATGATTAGCCTCTGCTAGTTAGCAAGTTTCACTTCCTGTTTACTACTGCAAAGCTTGTCGCCGACGTCTGACGTAATCACGCGTTGCGTAGCCTCATCCAACGTAATCACGCGTTGCGTAGCCTCGTCCGACGTAATCACGAGTTGCGTAGCCTCGTCCGACGTAATCACGAGTTGCGTAGCCTCGTCCGACGTAATCACGAGTTGCGTAGCCTCGTCTGACGTAATCACGTGTTGCGTAGCCTCGTCTGACGTAATCACGAGTTGCGTAGCCTCGTCTGACGTAATCACGTGTTGCGTAGCCTCGTTTATTCACATCAAACAGTCGAGAGGGAAACTAGATGGAAACAGTCTAGATTCGAATTTTTATTTCTTTAATTTTTTGCGACTTTTTAAAAGTTCGATAAAAATTCACTCTACAACTGGATGGAAACGTGATTACAGTTACGCCTTCAAATAAAGGAGATAAAGTTTTGTTTTCTGTGTGAGATGGACCATTATCTTACAAGAGTCAGTGCTGTGAATCCACCGGTCACCCAAAAGAGGCTGATGCTCGATTTTGTGTTTGTAGTAAAAATATTGCAGAGGTAGTAAAACAGGTAGTACAAATAAAGTAAATTCAACTGCAGGATTTTTGTATTAACCCTGAATATGAATGGTTAAAAGCAAAAAGTATGCAAAAGTAGTTTGATTGCAAAAATAATGGAAGAGAATATAATCATAAAAACTTTAAACTATTTTAATAAGTTGTTTTCTTTTTTAGGTATGTTATGCCCGAGTGCTTGATTTTCGAAGAAAGTTCATTGAAGCTGCACAAAGATACAACGAGCTTTCATATAAGTCTATTGTTCATGAAAGTGAACGTCTGGAGGCACTGAAACATGCCCTGAACTGCACCATTCTAGCCTCTGCAGGTACCGCCAACTTCCATTTAAAAAATCACATGGCCTAGATGTGTTGGAGAATTGTTTTAAATTCAGCTTTTTTTCTAATGATTTTATCTGTTCCAGGACAACAGCGTTCACGTATGTTGGCCACTCTGTTCAAGGATGAGCGCTGTCAGCAGCTGGCTGCTTATGGAATTCTGGAGAAGATGTACTTAGACCGAATCATCAGAGGAAACCAGCTCCAGGAGTTTGCTGCTATGCTGATGCCTCACCAGAAAGCCACCACAGCAGATGGTAAGAGAAAACCAGGGATTTTACACAGGCTGCCCTACCACTGCTTCACAGCTGCCCTGTAAGAAAATACGTGTTTTATATCGGCTGAAGTCAGATGAAAACACCAGTGTTAAATAAAATGATCTGTGATAAGAAGTAATGTCATACAACCCAGAATTCCGGAGCGGGTGAGGTTTATTATGCCACAAGCTGACAAGTCAAAACCACACACACTGAATTAAAAACAGGAAGTCCCCCTTATAAATACAGTCCAGAAATCTTCAATGCCTGAGTTCGCCCTCTGCTGGCCTACGGCTGAATCACAGGCATTCAGACAAAAAGACCTCACACTTATGTTAACACAGCTTTTAATTATGTGTTGTTAATAATTCGGTCATGTATCTACCCTATTTCAATTAACACATTGTAAGAAATATAACAAACATTATAAAGGTATTATAAAATAGGAAACCCTAATACTCTGGTGTTGTTTATAATCAGTACTGGCTCTAATAAACTATAAATTTCTTCAGCCCTATAGACAAAGAATGTTCATCTTCAGACCCATGTTGTTTATTTGAACTCAGATGTGAGAAGAAGACAAAGAACTTTTATTTCTTTATTTATTTCAATTCAATTCAGTTTATTTATATAGCGCCAAGTCACAACATACGTTGTCTCAGGGCACTGTACATAAAAAGAACAATCTAAAGAAGAAACCAGCAGATTGTGTTGAATCACTTCATCACAGTCTCCCATCCTGAGCAAACGGTGGTTGTCTGTCTGTTGATGTTTAATCCTGTGAGGTCCTCATCATCAGTTTATTGTTACTGAGTCTTGCTTTGTTCCGTCAGTCTGCCTGGCTCTGACCCTACCCTCAATCCTGTAGCAGTGTGGAGTGGGACTGAGAGCCAAGGCTGTGGCAGGAGAGGTTTATGTGTTTTCTGAATAATAA